AACTCCCAGAATTCCCCAGCCAGCATGGCTGGCTAGGGAATTCTGGGAGTTGAAGTCCACAAACCTTAAAGTTGCCAAGGTTTGAACCAAACCTGTGTTCTGTATGCTGCAGCAGAAAGAAAAAGATGATGTACTGCAACCTGAAGCTACCTCAGAAGGCAGGAGAAAGAGGAAATCCCGTTTACACATGGCTGAGAAGAGGATTTAAGGAGAGGAATTGCATGCACTTTTTTGGGATTACAAATAGAGCCTTTGCAGCAGAGAAACTGCAGGCAGGTTTTTGGAAACACATTAGCTGGTTCCAGGTCCTTCTGGCCTGGTCTGAAGACCTTGCAACCATCTTTTCTTCACGAAATTTTGCAACCATCTTCTCTTCCATGACCATCACTGTCCTAAATAATTTAAGGAACAAATGCATGGGATTTACAAGTCTTGCTCTATCTGTGTGCATGTGGAGTGTGTACAGTGTGTAAACAGGTCTTTGTTTGATGAAATCTGTGGTTAACTGTGGAGCCGCAAGGACACAGTGCTTGTTGTGAACTTACGTGAGCTTCCTGAAATCATCTTTCAAAAGCAGGAGAAGAAATTGCAACTAGGACTTTTCTAAAATTGCGCAAGTTGTGCAAGTTTACTTAGGCCTTGGTGCACTATGTCAGGTCTGGGTTCAGGAAGATGACCCCATGGGGTAGTTTGGGGGGGAAAGGGCGAGTAAGGGACACATATGGAAAAAATGGCCAGAAAGCGACTTTGTTTCATCCCCTTTCACCATTACAATGAATCATCAAGAGCAGAAGGTTTAGAAAGGAAAAACGGAAACGTAATCTGTGATACTCGTTATCATCACACGCTATGATGTAACCATTAGCATAAGATGCAAGCAGATCAGACAGTGTAAAGGGGGATTTTCACCAACGTAGGCTGGATTTATACTTCACATTAAGACATAGTTTGAAAAACACATCACCACTGGGGTTCGTACATCAGGCTAAGGCTAAACAAAATCAGTCACATTAGGGCTCAGTCCTGGAGAACAGGACCATCAACGGGATGTCTAAACAGCACAGAGAAGCCAAGTTGGTACGCCACCTTCATCAACCACTACGGGGGGACCGGCGTTCCAAGGTTTTCAAGAACTATCCACCTATTTACTGTGGGAAGCCAAAGACCGGTCTAGATGAACCTGGACTGATCCAGCAAAACTCCCGTAATGTGCTCACCAGGATGTGGGATGGCAAGATGGAAGATCAAACCACCACGTCCCACAAACGTTAGTTACTCACAAGATAATGCCCTTCCTTCTGAGATATTCATTGAGAATTTGTAAGTTTATAATAATAGAGGACACGATTCCTAGAGGTTGGTAAGAAGCATGAAATGTGTTGAGCTTCCCGCTTGGCAAACCAACTTGACTTGGACTGTCCTGCCAGAATGTGCCAAAATGAGAAGGTTCCATCACAACAGAACTCAGACAAAACCCTGTTTTGTTTCATGCTCAGAACACTCAAAATGACCATTTTGAGGTCAGTATGCTTTGCATACCCCATACTCACTTCTTTCTTTATCAATTTCTGTGTTTGATCACATGAAGGTAGCCATTACAGCTATGTGAAGCTCACAGCAAAAGCCCCATGGATGTAAATTCTGCTTGCTGTAGTCCAGTGTTTCTCAACCTTGGCCACTTTAAGACCTGTGGACTTCAGCTCCCAGAATTCCCCAGCCAGCCTT